AATAAATTGATGTACCAAAATTAGCATTAACTTAATCTAAAAAAACTAAAGTTATAATTTTTAGACCAAAATAGGAGCAGCCAAACGTTAGCACACAGCTACACTTATTAAGCACAGAAACCCCTAATCAGGCCTGAAATCTGAGTGTAATGATGGACTAAGACCTGAAGGTTGAGAAGCTCATGAATTAATCTAAAAAGTTGACTTTCTATCACCTGAAGAACATCTCCAAGATTAAAAATCTAATGTCCCAGTAGGATCTTGGAAAAGCTAATTCATATATTTATATTTGGTCAGATTGATTACAGGTCTGCCTAAAAAGTCTCTAAGCATCCTTTTAAAACTAAGAAATCTGAGCACACCAGCCCTGTTCTAAGGTTCTTACACTGGCTCCCATAGATGTCAGAAAATTCTTTGAAATACTTCTGTTGGGCTATTAATTACTGAATGGCTTAATACCAATGTACATTAAAGACTGGCCTGTTTATCAACTGCTCAGACCTCTCAGGTCTTCTGGCTCAAATCTGCCCTGCATACCCAGAAAAGCACCTTTTAAATCTTATTTCCTACTAATCTGGAACAAACTCGCATAAGATTTTAAAAAACACTGAAACCTAAGTTGCTTTAAATCAATGTTGGAAACCAAATTGTAGTGACTCACTGGCACTGCCAGGAGAAATAAGCAGTCTCTAGAAGGAAGGGTTAGAGCTCCAGAAGTCCTTAACTTTAATAAATACCTCTGTGGATTTGAGAAGGTAACAACTGAAAATGTAGAAACTAGAATTTCTTCAAAATTAAAAAGCGAGAATTCAGTGTTTAACAATTGCGATCAGTAAACAGTGAGACGTTCCAAGGAATCACCTCCTCCACAAAAATAGACACATGATTATCTTTAGTTTGGGGTTACAGTACAACTTTCTCTTTACCATATCATACCTTTAGAGTATGTTTTCACGTCTGTTATTGCATACAGATTTTTATAGATCAGTAAATTTCAAGTCATATTTTCCAGTTAGGATGATAAAAAAAAAATGTTTTAACCAGTAATCATTTAGCATGTTGGATTTAAACCAACCAGATTTACCTCTAGAGGCCAATAACAGCCCTGGACTTTAATGAAGAAGGAAATCTGTATTACCCTACATGGCTTTATAATGTATTTAGGGATATAGTCCAGTCTTTTTAAACTGAGCTACCTGCTAACAGGTGCCAGACATCTGAAGATAATCAGAAACAGTGGTTATAAAGCTAAAATTAAGACTAGTGAGTCACAGTAAAGGTGAATCCTAAAAAATTACTTAATTTATACAATACAAAACTGAGATTGTAGATTGAGGAGATATTTTATTGATAATTTAATTATGTCTGGGTGTGCAGTGTTGCAGAGTACCCAATGTGTTTGTGTAACATGAGACAAAATCTATTATGATATTGAGCTTATAATCTAGGCTTTATATCCAGCAGCCAGCGAAAAATGTAAAGCAATGAGCAAATTGATTTAATAGATGACAGACGGCTCTGCACTTCCATTGATGCAACATCTCAGTCAGAAAGTGATCAGATGTATTGATAAAGCGCCTCCTGTACCTCCTCCTGTGTGTGCCGATCTACTGCCATCTGTAGCCGTCTTTGTGCCACAGCATATGTTTGCCGGTGATTTCTGGAGAGCAGCTTCAGTGTGTTTCTGCCGTAGGCTGCAGCCATCCCTACTAGAAAAGCAGCGGATAATGATTTCATCATTTCCCCGATTATTGACAGGCGCCTTGAGCTCTACTATTACGTTCCCAGTGTTGTGGAGCGAATTAACATCCATTAGAATATGATTATTCTGCTAAAGCATGTGGTGAGATGTAGATCCTAAAGAGGATTGTGGCTCCAACATAAAAAAAAGAAGATCCATGGGTATGACAGGCTCATCACATATCCAGGCTTAGATATAGAGATGTGGTAGGACAGAACCTCTGCATCAAGAGCCTCTGGCCTTAAAGTGACCTTCCTCATGCAAAGCTGCCAATCACTGCTCATTAAACATCAAGACACACATTCTTTACTCCACCTAGTTGTGATTTAAATAGTTCTATCTTTCGGTTTCTCTTGCTCTTACTCTTCTTATTCCATGTCTTTTTTCAAGGGTAAAAGTATATATATATATATATATATATATATATATATATATATATATATATATATATATATATATATATATATATATCTCCCCTTGGAAAATCATTTGTTTCATTTTAGTGATAATTTCAATCAAATGTATCAAGTAAATAAAACTAATTAAAACGGGGAAAAAGAGACTATCCTTGCGACTTTATGTGAATTAACTCTGATTACCACCATTATTGGACGGCCAACTCTCATTTTACCAGCCTGATTACAGCCCAATCTTTAGAATCAAAGAATCATTAAAAAGCACGTCTGACAACATAAGGTAGGCTAAAGGTTTTTTAACCAAAGCGCATGGTAGGAATGGCTGTAGGATTAAATAGACATTGCAAACGAATATCTACTGTCACCAAATGCTCAATGAGTCAATGCAACCAGCTGCATTTCCTGAGATAGAATATTTTCAACTAATCTGACTGGATGATGAATTGATTGAGTTTCTCTGTAAACAGTCTTGAAATTTCATGATTTAAACTGGTCCTATATAAATAAGAAGCAGGCACTGAGGCCGAACAAAGCTCTCAATTAACCGGCCGGTCTTTGTTCCTATCTTCAATTTCTGTCATGAAATCTGGATTATGACTGAAAGAGTGAGATCCTGGATACAAGCGGCTGAAATTAGCTTTCTCCACAAGGTGGCTGGGCTATCCCTTAGAGATAGGGTGATGAGCTTGACCATTTGCCAGATGCTCGGAGTAGAGCAGCTTCACCTCCTTATCGAGAGCAGTCAGTTGAGGTTGCTGGGACATTTTTGTCAGATGTCTATGGGACATCTCCGTTTGGAAGTGTTCCAGGCATGTCCAACCTGGAGAAGGCCCAAAAGACAACCCAAGACATCATCTCTCCACTGGTTTCGGAATACCTTGGGCTTCCTCCATCAGAGCTAAAGGAGTGGTCTGCTGAGAACCCTAACCCTTTTCTACTGGAAAGACTTGATTTCTTCAAGGAGGTCACAAAATAACCCAGAACAACATCTTAAGCACTGCAGACCTCACTTACCTCTGTTAATAATGCTGTCTTAGATTACCAGACATCCAAAACATCAAAATAATTAGTATGTCTGCAGAATGGAACCAGACTTTTCTTGTTTCTCGAAGACGTTTCATCTGTCATCCAACAGACTTAATTTCTTACACAAAGAGGCCTTCATTAAGAGCATATTTATCTCTATTAAGGTCAGAGGTAATGATCTAATAATCAGAATGAGAGAGGACCTTTGCTTACCAAACACAACACATCAACGTGTCTTTGGACTACCAAGACATCAGAGGTTTGGAGGATGGACATTGTGTTATATTTGGTGTAACACCATAAATCCTACAGTCCAACCCAGTGGTGGTAGCGTCACAGTCACAGGCTGATATTTTGGTTCAGGACCTTGAAATCTGGAACCACAATATAAAAGTTGTAACATCTGGCAGTTTACTTTAAGATCAACAACACTTGGGTTAAAGGTGGAAAGTAGTCCAAAACACACAATCAAGCCCATTAGTTCCTAAAGTTAGGATTATGACCCACTTGGAGTCCTGAGCAACCAAGGAAGGGTTCTCGAGAAAATTACAAAAATTAAAATGAACAATGAGGATTTAGTTTAAAATGGTAAAAGATATAAAAGCATTCGTTAAAAGAAAAAAAAATACTACTTTGGTTGCTGATGCTGTTTGTAATATTGTTACACCGGTTCTTTGATTGTTTTCAAAATGTTTGAATACTCAACCAGTAGTTTTGGTCATTAGTTGACTTTGGTGACATTTTGTAGGTCAGAAGCTGATCATTTTGGGAACCTCTGAGTTAGACCACCACGGTTTGGTTAAAGGGAAAACATCACTTCATAGATCAGGGCTCTAGCATGCAACTCTGTGTCTTAATGATGCTACTAAAACCAATCTGAGATTGTACCGGTGCAACCAACTGTCCCTGAAATGAAAGGCATTGCATTTTTCAGGGACCTGTGATTATTAAAGTAATCACTGGAACTGGAACTGAGACAGATGTGAGCAGAGATGATGAAATGAGCATCAGATAGATCTGTTTTGAACAGTTCTTTTTTTTTTTTTTTTTAAGAATGGATTTTTTTACTTGTGTTTCATATTTTAAATTTAATTGCAACTTTTCTCAATTTTCGTTTTGTCTATTTTTTTGGATATAATGTTATGGAAATTCTTTAGCTTGTATCTTGGCATAGGTAAAAGAATATGTCTGTTTAAATCAGCATGAAGTTATTCTCAGTTCACATGCAGGGATGCAATTTTTTCCGCCAAATAAAGTAAAAGTGCTATCGACTGCTTTACTGATTTCTCCCCACCCCTCCATCCCCACCCCACACTCACACACACACACACACACACACACACACACACACACACACACACACACACACACACACACACACACACACACACACACACACACACACACACACACACACACACACACACACACTTGTCACAGAAAACAGTTCAACAACAGGACATATCCCATGTGTTGTGAAAGCTTGTTGCAATAATGGAAGCCAATCTTTGTCTAAGCGCATTTGGATCGAACAATAACTCTTGGATTTCTGAGAAACTGTGCTTCGAAAAATCGCCTGAATTTAATTAAAGTCAAACCCCCATTTCCTCTGGCTAAGATTTGGAAAACCCTTCTAGCACCATTAAATGGTTCCTCCATGAAAACATAGATACAGATACAGATACAGATACAGAGGTCCAGCAGTTGCAGTGAAAGTACTGGTTTTGTATTGCTGTGTGTTTGTATTGCTGTGTGTGAATTCAATAAATCTTCTAGTAACTCTTTTTTTCCTTTGCTTCTTTTCTTCTCTTCTACAGCTGCTCTGCAGGTATCCATATCCTTGAACAAAGTGGAGTTAAGTGTCGGCGAGTCCAAGTTCTTCACCTGCACAGGTACAGATGCCACACTCTTGATTATTGTGTCCATCCATCCATTATCTTACACGCTTGTCCCAATTGGGGTCGCGAGGGGTGCTGGTGCCTATCTCCAGCAGTCAATGGGCGAGAGGCGGGGTACACCCTGGACAGGTTGCCAGTCCATCGCAGGGCAACACAGAGACACACAGGACAAACAACCATTCACACACACACTCATACCTAAGGACAATTTAGAGAAGCCAATTAACCTAACAGTCATGTTTTTTGGACCGTGGGAGGAAGCCGGAGTACCCGGAGAGAACCCACGCATGCCCAGGGAGAACATGCAAACTCCATGCAGAAAGACCCTGGGCCAGGAATTGAACCCAGAACCTTCTTGCTGCAAGGCAGCAGTGCTAACCACTGCGCCACTGAGCAGCCCTTGATTATTGTGTGTTCTACATAAATACCCAAAACCCTTCCTTTTTTAAAGATTTTTTCAACAGCGGAACCTAAATTAATTCATCATAGTGAAGTGGACAGTATTAGCTCATTGTTTAACACATTTTGCACCTCTTTTTACACCATCTGTTCTGTTTTCCAAAACTCAAGCCAATGTTTAGTTCTTGTTACATTTGGAAAAATGAACTGGCCGTTAATGCTATTACAAGGTGCTGCAAGGATTGTGGTTGTGTTTGCTGTCAAAAAAACGTGTGGGTCATGTAACACTATACCTTCCTGGATTTGCACTTCCCTGCCATGTCACTATACTTTCTCTTTGTCCGTTTTTGGATGGCATATCTGCACAGCAGCAAATAAGCTGATGCTGGGGCCAACAAAGACTCGGTGGGGTAGCTACACTTCCTGGCAGGCCTCACCCGCCTCCTACTGGTTGCCGTCTCTCTCCTGCCAACCCACTCAACAGGGGGGCTAGCAATCAAGAGGGTCAAGCTGGGAGGATCATACAGGGCTGTTAAAGTGTACTGAGGAGGGGTAGAAATCGAAGAAATAAATTAAACTCTTGACAATTGAACAGAAAAGGCTTTTAATGTGAAAAGCTAGCAGAGGTAAATGGAAAAGTTTTTAAAGCAATCGGTTTAAAAACAGAGGTAAGTACAGTAGTTCACACTCCACTGTCAAAGTGTGGCTGTGGAAGTTTTCGTGCACCTTTTTTCAACCTGGGCACTAAGCTTGACTTTTACCACACTTGTAGGAAGTTCTGCAATGTGGAGGGAGCTATAAATGTGGGGGAAATCAGACAAAAGCTACAGGGGTCTGAAATGAAGCTGCAAACAAAGAAAAAGCCAAGCTGTTGAAGGGCCTATTCTGGCCTTGAGCTGCAGTCAAGTTTTGTGTGCCAGTCCTATATTGATAAGAGGTTTGTACAGTGAAAGCAGCTTTATTCCTGGTGGCTTTGGGTTTGGAATTTGGACAGACATAGCTTTTTCTGATTTTGATCTGTTAAAAATCATCCAAGGACAATAACATAGATTAAATCTATAGTTTAACTGAACTTTTAACATCATCTTATTGAGTTCTTTGAACCTTTATTCTTATGTTGAGGATCTCATTAAAATATAGACTCTATTATGAGAAAACTGGGTCATTAATTGTTGTTATATGAGTATAAATCTAGATTATACCCAATTGAACCTTTTAACAAAAGGCTTTAATGAATAGTGTTTAAATTGTACCCCTCACTTCCAATACAGCTGAGCTTTTAAAGTCGAAATATTGTAAAGTTGATGAGCTAAATGAAAATTTTCTGAAATAAACAGTGGGGCTAATTGTTCACGTTCTCCTACCTATTATGATAAGAGAGTTGTAATTTCACTAACTGTAATCTTATTTTTGAAAGAATTTATTTGAAAACCTTGGTGAAAAATGAGCAGGGCACTTAAACACGAGATGTCTGGCTTTCACAGAACTCTTAACTTCTGTTTCAAGAAGATTTTCTCTTCTCCTCTCATTACCTGTTGTAATTGTACCTGTCTGATCTCGTTATCTGTTTAAAAGACACCTGTCCATAGTCTAAAAAAGTCATACTCCAACCCACGATCAAAGTGGTGTAGAAGGACACCAGGAGGAAAATTGTTGGCTTGGGAGAGTGAATCTACTATAGGCAAGCAGGTTGCTGTGAATAAATCAACCATGGGAGCAATGTGAAGAATAGAACACATGCTGGGCCTTGATCTAGGCCCCACAAATGATCATGAGAACAGTGAGGAAAACTCCCAGAACTACACGGAGGCACCTGATGAATGACCTGCAGAGACCTGGGACCTAAGGAACAAAGGCTACCAAGATTAACACACGAACAACCTGGCACAAACCAGTTCAACTTGAATTCTACGGTATCCATCTGAAAAGGCTCCTGTGAAAAGTTTTGCAAAAGGGAGGGACATTCTGTACAATTCTTCCAGCTGACTGCATAAATCACCAGTTGGTACATGTTGAGCTTTTAGCTAATCACAGTAGAAGCTGTGACATACCCCATAATTGATTTGCTTCTCAACTAGCGGAGTTAACTTATAGATCAAACTGTTAACAAATCCAGGCAGCAGGACCATGCAAACATCTTTCCCATCCACAAAGGCACCAACCTTGTCCTTTCATTCATTTTTCAAAAAAGAAATTGTGGATATTTTAGCTAAAGGAGCCATGTTTTTTTTTTTTTTTTTTTTTTACTTCAGCCTGCCTCTGGTTTATATAAATGGTCAGTGCTTATATAGCATTTTTCAATTCACGAGACTTGACCAAAGCACTTTGCACAACATTTAATCATCCACATCATCGCACACACTCACACTGTTGAAACTACATCAACAGTGTAGTTTCAACATCGTAGCCACAGCTGCCCTAGGGCGCACTGCCCTGGGCCTCACTGACAGAAACTAGGCTGCCGTACAGTGGCGCCACAGGGCCCTTTGACCATCATCAGTGGGCAATGCAGGTGAAGTATCTTGCCCAAAGACATGACACTGAAAGCTGGAGCTGGGGCTTGAACTGTCAATCCTTAGATTTCAGGGCAAACTCCTACATCAGGCCCCGCTGTTGCCCCCAAACATACATATTACTGCATTTCAAGGGGTTGAAACATTTCTGTATCCAAGGCTTATGGATCTATTTGCTTCTGACAATAAATTTCTTCAGACGTAGATACAAATACAGCAGTGCCAGGTAAGTCCCCCTGCTGTCCTGTCAATATGAATGATCATTTAATGGATTGGGAGGATATTATTTGCTCAGATGTAACCAAGTTAAACTTTTGGGAACAGAAAGTACCATGGTGTTCACCATACCTACTGTAAAGCATGGTGGTGGAAACGTCATGCTTTGGGGCTGTTTTTCTGCAAAGGAGACACAACATCTGATATATAAACAAAATATAAATGGGGTCATGTATGATGAGATTTTCAGCCCAAACCTTTAACCCTTAGTGAGAGTACTGAAAATGGAAGGTGGCTGGACAATGATCTTAAACACACCACTCTGACAACACACTGCTAAAACGATCTAAAAATGAGTAAACATTTCTTAAAACTAATGTATTAAATCTTAATTTTAGTTGTTAAATATAATGATCTGCTAATGAAATAAGTATTTGTACCCTTAAAATAAGATGATTGGATATTTAGAACCTAAAATAAGAGACGGTAGTTGTGTTTTTCTTTTTTTAAATGTAAATTGTCTTATTCCATTCCTCAAATCTCTTAATTACCTGAGAATTTATTCATTTGAAGAGAAATTAAATTATTTACATTTCATATTTTTTGCAGTGTAATGACGTGGCTCTGTTAAAACAATTTCAAGGTCCTGGAGTGGCCTAGCCAATCTCCAGACCTTAACCCCAGAGAAATATCTAAGCAGGAATTGAAAATCAATGTTAACGAGTTGCAACCCCAAAGCTCCTCTGTAGGAGCTCTGATGGAGGAATGAGCAAAAATACCATCTAGAGTGTGAGCAAACCTGGTGAAGGCTTAAGAAACATTTGCTCTATGTCATTGCTTTTAAAGTTTATGCAACATTGTATTGAGTTTAACTTTTTTATTGACCAAATACTTGTCTTTCACTATAATTTACTAATAACAAATTGAAAAATCATCCCAAAATATGATTCAGACGTTTTTTCTCGTGTGCTCTGTTGTAGTTGAAGTTGAACTTACAAACCACTCAAAATTTTCTAACATCAGTAAATAAATTTTTGTCCAATGTAATCTTTTTCTCACATCTCAATCATAATCTCTCCTTATAAACTGATCTTAACTACAGGTTTTAAAGGAGGCTTAAATATTCTGAATATCTTCCCCAAAGATATACAGTTGAGGCTAAAAGTTGCCCTCACTGTGAAGTTGTTGATGTCCCTTACTTACTATTCCTGGCTGCCTCTCCTCATTCAAAAAGACCAGAATAGCAGCCAAAACTCCACAAAATGCCTGAATACATTTGTACTCTTTTTATTTGTGCATTTTAGCCTCAGGATTCTGTTGTACTCCTTAAAAACCTTAACTTCTATCTATTTCATGATTTCTGGACCTGCCGGACGTCATTGTTGTTTGCTTGCTCATGCGAGTCAATTAAGAGGCACAAATACTTCCCCCTGGAGCACATGGACAACATTTTGAAAACAAAAATAAATGTGATTTAAAAAAAAACTGAAACAAACATCAGGACCTGCAGTGCCAATGTGCTTTTAGGAGAAAGAATAAGCTTTGCATCAGCATGGCCTGGTTTTTGTGCTTGTCATTGCAGGATAGAGTAGCTTTATTTTCTGTCACATGGCAGGGCTCTGGAATGACAGGTTAAATTGAGGCCTTTGCAGGAGAAAGAGCCCAAAGTGCAGAAGACCATGAGTGGAGGAGAAGCAGATCCCACTGAGAGGCTGAAAGAACACCTAGAGGGCTGCAGAACAATAAGTAGGGCGTTTAGATTGACCTTAGAAAGTTGTTGACTCTAAGTAGTCCACACAGAGGGTCCATTTGTTCCTATGTCAGCTTGAACCTGAAGAGATATTTATTATTTGTATTTTCTATAAT